TTGGGACCGGGACTTCAAGAACCATCCCAATCGACCTTTGATGCTTATGGGCATGATCTCTTGCTTCCTTGGAGATCCCTCAACTGTGCCTGAAGAGCAATATGTTACCGTTGGCAACTACACTGCTTACCCATACTCTCGCGGCCACGTCCACATCACCGGCGCTGGACTCGACGACCCTCTTGACTTCGATGTTGGATTCCTCAGCGACGAGCATGACATTGACTTGAAGAAGCAGATTTGGGCTTACAAGAAATCCCGAGAGATCATGCGTCGAACAAAGATGTACCGTGGCGAGATCGCAGCTGGTCACCCGGCATGGCCAGCAGGATCCAAGGCTGCTTCGGTGGAGATCAACGAGGCTCTCAGCAATGTCACCGATCTTGATTATTCAGCTGAAGATGACAAGGCCATTGAGGAGTGGGTTCGACAGAATGTTGCCACGACATGGCACTCCATCTCTACTTGCAGGATGGCGCCTCGTGATGAGAATGGTGTTGTCGATGAGAGGCTGAATGTACATGGTACAAAGGGTCTCAAGTTGGCTGACTTGAGTATTCCTCCGGAGAATGTCGGTGCGAACACAAACAACACTGCTATTGTTGTTGGTGAGAAGGCTGCAGATATTATCATCAAGGATCTGGGACTTGGTCCATCGGCTAAGTTGTGAGATTGAGGTAGCTTGTTGACTAGAAGTCAGTCTTCGAAATCTGACCTGGGCTTGAGCAGTTTTTGTAGGGACGTTGAGAAGATGACTTTGGCTTGATATTTGGTCGTAGCGTAGCAATGAGTAACAAATACACACAAGTTCTTGAGGCCTGAACAACATACTTTCTGGAAGATGCACTTACACGATCAGGAGATTTCCAGTGACTTGCAAGATCGAAGTCCACTTAATTTCCCATCTCAACAGTAATGACACCTATCACAAGGAATAAGACGGCCTTTCATTGGGCTCTTCTTGAGTTATGCACGTCCTCCGCTTTATCGTGCATCTTGTAACAGCGATTCGAGGCTAACGAAGTGAAGAGGGAGGGATACAAGTGACCGCCCACCGCAGCACAGCCCAGTCAACATTCCACGCCAAACTTTCGGAAGCTTCCAAGAAGCGATACAGGCTTTGTCCGGCGTAACAGCAAAAAGGTAGCATTAGAAAATGCCAAAAAGACATACAACAGCGGGGATTCGCTGGTCGTCACCGACCCAACTACTGATCCGCCGGTTAGTGGCTTGACTATGGGAGAGCAGACGGGATCCCGTATTTTCCACTACCTATGGTCGTATGTATTAATGATGCTGTTGTCAAGGCATATATGCTATGCGTTATGGCATGACAGAGAATGTCTGGGTCACCGACCTGCGGGCCAAAGCTGCAGATCCAGCCGCGCTCCACAAGACAACAATCTCTACTCAATACCTCAACAAGCTCTCTTGTGTGCTGCTAGAAACTCTGATGTCAGGTAATGACATTTGCTCTGGTTGTAGTTAATTTGCTCATCCTTGTTGACGCTCCGAACCTGTGTCAGTCTCAACAGTACTGGGCCGACCTCCTTCGAGGGCCATGCAAACGGGAACTACCCTGCTGTTTCATTTAGAGAAACATTCCTATCAACGTCTCGGTTTTATATTCAATCTGTCTTCGTAAGAGTCGGCGCATTGCTATTAGCCCCCAGCCGAACTGAACGTGCGGCCCTGTGCACTGTTGCGAAAGGCTGCTAAGATGCTGTCTATAGAAATAACAGCAATCGTTGCATAATGTGTGCCAATCGCATGTGAAATTTACCAGGATCGCATCAAGTGTTGAGGGCTAATAGGCCTTCCCGTTATGGTGTTAAATACCGAGCAGGTTGCAGTGCATTCGTATTAAACTGGGTTTCGGTGCGGCCAACAACTTCATGAGACAGGGTTACGACCATCTCCACATCATACATACATGGAGATACATACGAGGTATCGAGAAGCGCTTGGAGGGTTTCCAGTACTAGAAAAGTTCTCCGTCGGTCATTCGAGACCATAGTCGTAGCCGCAGCGCTCCATCGCTCCTATGCCGTTAGTCAAGGCAGTCTCGGTAGCTTGTGTGAAGAGTGACAAGCGGCGGGCCGCTCGGGAACCAAGGGTGATCGACAAGGATATAGCCCCAGAAGCCGGAGGCGGAAACGGTGGCCATCCCAATTGGCCTCATCCATCCTGAATATTAGCCGAGCGGGGATACAGCATATGATACCACTTTAGTTACACACAAGCATGAACAGGTCATAAAGAGGGAGGCGTCCCAGTGTTGAGTTGCAGGTTTCCTGCAGCGCATTTGTATCGTCAGCAAAATGGCTTCCCCAGCTGCTCAGCCAACAGCCGAACGTGCTGAAAGTCCTCCTGATGTACCTGGCGTACTAGAAGCAGAAGTACCATACCCAACACTATTGATCAAAAAATATGCTGATAAAGAGTAGGACGATGGTGGAGACGCTGATTCTACATTAGACCTCGGGTCAGTCATAATGACGGATATCTTGTGGATTCTGTACTGACAATCAGTGCAGAGAGGGTTCTTCCAGTTACATGACATCTCTCAAATCAAGCATCTTTAGCTATAGGTGAGAGGTCATACTTCATAGCCAACTATGCTTCTTACTAAAATTATGTAGATATGAGGTAGGGCATACAAGATTCCTGGGTGGTTGGTAGCCTAACAGCTCAACAGCACGGCCGTCGATATCATGCATTCCACGAAGGAGCATACTTGGTGGTTAGTCTTCTCGCCTATCGAAAGGTCAAGTGCAAGCCGACTAACCATACACTGTAGCCAAACGACGATGAAGAGCAGAACCGCATGGATCTGGTTCACCATATCTACAGTCTTCTTCTTGCGGGGAAGCTTCATACTGCCCCAATTGACAATCCCCAACGTGTCCTTGATCTGGGCACAGGTACTGGCATCTGGGCTATCGATTTTGCAGAGTAGGTTATAGCCTCTTGGTGACTACTTAAAACCCCGTTGCTGACCTCAGGAAGTGAGCACCCTTCAGCCGAAGTAGTCGGGACAGATTTGAGCCCCATCCAGCCTGACTGGTGAGTTATGAGCATCATGTCTTTTGCTTTGCCCAGACTCATATTTCTATGCAGGGTTCCTGCCAACTGCGTTTTTGAAGTCGATGACTTTGAAGACCCATGGGTTTACAAGAAGCCGTTCGACTACATCCATGCCCGAGAGCTTGAAGGATGCATCAGCAATGAGCAGCAGTTCTTTGATCGTGCGTTCGAGAACCTCAACAGCGGCGGTTATCTCGAACTTCAAGCCCAGCGTGGTTTCTTCATGTCAGACGATGACTCGATCAAGAAGGCCGTCAATGCAGAGGTCTGGGCCGAAGCAGTACGCGACAGCAGCAATAAATTCGGAAAGCCCATCGACTGCGCCATGAACTGGAAAGAAAAGGTAATCAAGGCGGGTTTCGTTGATGTCCACGAAGAAGTCCGAAAGGTGAGCATTATATCTACTGAGAACATGAATTGTTAGCTGATGTTGAGACAGATTCCAATTGGTGCCTGGCCTAAAGACCCCGTCCTGAAGGAAGTAGGCAAATGCCAGGTCGTTCAATCATGTGCAGCCATTGACTCGTATACGCCAATGCTTCTGGAAAAGGTCCTTGGATGGGGTAAAGAGGAGACTCAAGTTCTTATGGCGAAGGCAAAAGGGGAGCTCCGAAATCCCTCTATTCATCTGTATCTTCCCGTCTACTTCATCTGGGGGGAAAAGCCATAGGACTTCGATCTCTGGTTGTCAGTAACAAAGAGGAGTTAGGTTCGACTGGCATGGGTGATGCGAAAAGCAAATAACAAGCTGAAATAAGTCAACAGAACCGTGTAACTTGTATCGCTGAAATACGATAGGACATAGCATCCGCGCTATGAGCGCTTGCTTGAATCTCGCTTGTTTCACAAATTGTGAGAAGAAACCTGCCGCACTCGCGAACTATAAACTCGCCGTCATCACCCTCGTTCAATCTTGTCCATCGCAGCTCTATGCCAATAATCTTCACCCATGGCCATGAAGCCATCGCCAAGCTGCGATTTTCCGCTCCTGGGGCGCGTGAGCCTGCTAGTCCCTATCGGCCACCTGGTCCCTCACTCCCTTGCGAATGCATTACCTTAAATCTGGTGGAGACCTACCTTCTAGAGATAGATCCGTTCGATGATGGTGCATCGTGTATGCCAGTCTGGGCGCAGTCGTTGCGGTGAAGGAAGCAGAAGACGAAGTAACCCTACCTGAGCAATGAAAGGCATCGTCTGGCTGGGTGCTAAGAGTGCCCCTCAGGCCCACTAAATTTACAGCGCTGCTAGCCACTATGGCATCTGAGATAGCAGTTGACAGCGGCTGAATGTAGCGCTTAACTAACGGTAACCGATTATCTTCCGTTACCTGGGGCAGGTTGCCTACGCCAGTCATCTGGGGAAGAAGGCCAAACAGGTCTGGTTCCTGGTTCTCAGGAACAAGAGGAGATGAGTTCCATTCATGCCGGTATGCGTAAAGCTCATGACATTCAAGCTGGGAATGAAAAGCAGTTATAGTGGCGCTATCCCAAGTTGGTGTGAAGTCGATACTTCGGCCTTCGATAAATCATCATCTTACGCATTTGGCTGCGGAATGGGCCAGCCTGTAAATTGTGTCAATTGAGATACGATAGGGCTGGTGTACCTACATAAGGTACCTAGACGTTGAAGTGGACCCCGCCGCCAAATGAAACAGCCCCTTGGAAAACGACATCGAAGTTTGAGGAAGTACAGTACAGAGAAAGGCATATGTACTAATCAGTGATACTCTAACTATTCAATGCTGAGGTACTCTCACATCATTAGGTTGTTGAAAGCCGCGTGTTTGTCCTAACTAGCCTGGTAAGCATCATCACCATCGCGGGGGATTATCCGCTAAAACCCCCGCAACACGGCACACGGGACGTTTGTACCCACTGAAGCGTTTATTTAGCAGCTGGACACCTCAACCAACAGCCAAACTCTACCAACAGTTTCTTCGCTTATGGGCGTGCAAACGCAGCCTCGTTTGCCTGAAACTCTACAAGGGTTTGTTTATCTTCTTGTCTTTTTTCCCTCTGCAATTTAGTCTTGTTACACAGAGCGGTGATGAATCGGAGCTCGGCTTCAGTTTTCCCGACACATGGCTCCCAGCAACCTTACGGACCAACAACTGTTTGCTCTTGCCATGAGCCGACAGGCCCAGAGCCTGATTCATTTTTTCCCTCCTTCATCGCGCCCCTCACTTCTCTCTTCGCGTCAAAGGGGCGCGCCTATATCTTCGAGACATTTCCCCACCGTTGCCGCCGACTCCTCTCGACCTACAACACGAATTTCGCACCATACATGCCATGAATGCAAACCACGGCGAGGCACCAGCCTCTTACGATGACATTGGGGTCGGTGACGCAAATCCAGAGGTGCAAAAATGCGTCAATCGGATCTACAAGGCATCTGGGAAATATCCCTGGGACTGGCTGCCACGCGATTACGTTCCCAAGGTCGCCGCTTGGGGGACCAACTCCGCGCTGAACCTTGCCCTTGCCGTTGAAGCTGTTCACGCCCATGGATCAACGGTTACCATGGACGAATTGCGCGATTTCCTGGTACGAAAGGCCAAGGAGCGCCAGGAATTGAGCAAGAATGGCAAGCCAGTCAAACCTACCATGAACTCGGATTGCGTGAAGGCTAGAAAGTGGATTGAAGACAACATGGTCAACTCACAAAGCACATCGAAACATAACAAGCTCAAACGGTCGGGTCGTGATGCTGCCTTTAGGCAAGCGAGGCCGAAAACATGGCGCACGCTCACTATAGCTTACAAGAAGCAGCCCCAGGACAAGCTTGACGACGATGATGAAGACGAAACATTCCCAGAATTTCCCTACGATAGAGAAATGAGTGTTCTCAGCGATATCAGCAACGTAAGCAGTGCAATCGGTCCATCCGATCGTTGCCAGCCTTCCCTTCCTCCACCGCCCGATCGGACTTCGACTCATAAGCGGAACATGCCTCCTCGTATGTTTCTATATATTTCGTTCGTGACCTCAACCCATCACTGACGCCATCTTAGCACCCTCGCCACTCCCCGAGAAACGCTTGCGACAGGTCGAACAATTCGTATCGAGCAATATCGATGACTTCAAGGAAGCATCCAGGACATTCAACCCCGAGGAAGAAGCTTGTCTCAATCAAGGTGTCAGTACCGCAGCCCAACTATTCACATGAGCGCCGATGCTAATGTTGTCTCGCTTCACAGGAATCCGTTCAGCTCTACGGTTTCAATAAAGTCCTACGCGCAATATGCGAAAGGATTGAAGATGCTGAATTCCGGAGCAGCATATACGGGCAGGAGGTTCATAACACCCGACGCAACTTAGCTTCAATCAACATGGGAGAAGTCAGGCACGTTCTCCAAAAGGCCACGAGAGACCGAGACGAAAAACGAGAGGAACTCAGGCAGTTACAGGAAGAATTAAATAGCTTTACCACGATGATCGACAACCAGGGGGGGAAGTGTTCAGAGACGCTGCGTGCCATGTATGACGGCTTTATCCGGAACTGTGAAAACGCGAAAAAGAAGCTTGAAAATGTTGAAGACACTTTGAAAGCAATGGAAGAAGAAATCCAGAAGAACCGCCGGCAATACCAAGATGGACAAGATAAGATCGCGTCTTTAGAGAAGGACATTGCCAAAGAAGAAGAGGTCATCAAGTGGGAGACAAGGAAAAAGATAACACTCGAGACGCTCCGATGTTATGTGGAGATGAGGGAGAAACTTATGTCTGCTTCCGACGAAGTGTTGCGCGCAGAGCGCGATGCAGCCGTGAAAAAGCTCGAGAGTCTCTCGTAGCACGAATTTGGTTGCTACAGAACCTGGCGAGGTCCGGAGTATCGGTTCGAGCATTGTTACTGTTTGGTTGTAACAGCAACTGAGGAAGTCTGGAGTTTGTTCAAGCATTATTATTGGGTTCATGTTCTTCTTTCGAGAGCGATTACATTGTCAAAGGCTTTATGTGGCGAATGGTTGGTAATGACAAAGGGACTTGGTAGCTCATTTTGAGATGGCGAATAACTTGAATTATAGCTAGAATCAAGTGCAAACGTGGGTATCGACTTGATAATAACAAGGAAACATCAAACCCTTGCCTTCCTGAGGCCTTCTTGTCTCACCACCTGTCCTAGATGGTTGGTCGTGAGACCTGAGTTCTTCATGGAGGGACAATAACCTCGAATCCATCTTGGATAACCTCTCCTCCAAAATTCTCTCGATAACCCGCTCCTCAAACACCGCAACATCATCAAAAGAGTCAGATTCTTCCTCATCTAGGTCCCCGTCTTGTCGTCTGTGAGCGGCGAAGCGTAGCGGCGTTTGTGTTGGCTTGGCCTTCCGAACAAAGTCTCGCCGTCGTGTGTTGTACCTCTCTGACCTTGCACTCCAGAAGTCTTTGGCCATCTCACCGAGTTCAAGAGTTTTTGCTGCTGTAAGCCCAGTGTGACTCACATCGACCTTGGACTTCCACTTGCCGGGTTTGTAGCTCGTGAAGCTCATCTCTTTGACATAATGCCGTATTCTCATGTCAAGGAAATATCCTGAAGCTGGGAGGACCTTATCTACAAGGCCTATGTCTCTTGCTTGAGAAGCAGATATGGGTAGCATAGCACGCAAAATATACCTTGCGCGCTCTGGCCCACAGCGACCGACGTAGGATAGGGAGTGATACTCAGAGCCGTAGAGTCCGAGGGTTCGATAGGCGGGATTGAGGACGACTTCGGAGCCTGCAATGACCACATCGCAAGCCGCTGCCAAGGCCACGCCACCAGCAGCGCAGTTCCCTCTTAGAGCCGCGATGGTAGTGACGTTCTTGCGAGGAAATGCGTCGAGCAGCGTGTGCACCACGTCATCGATGCGATTGATGTTCCTCCAAGACTCTGCCGCAGGATCATCACTGGCTTCGATGACGTTGAGGGCAATACCGTTGCTGAAATATGAGTCACCGCCCATAAGCACGACAGCATCTAGAGACTCATGTGAAGCGACGAATTCAAGAGCTTCAATGAGTCGCGAACATTGAGAGGTGCTCATGGCACCGTTGTAGAACTCAAAGTAGACGAAGGCCACTTGGCGCTTGCCTGTACTTGCAGCAAACTCTACCCAAATATCTTGATGGGTTGAGTATGTTGCCTTAGACCAGCCGAAGAGAGGGCGTAGTGATACTGAACTGTTCAGGGAGCTTTGGTGGATGAGGCCGAGGTCGAGAAGGCCTGAGACAGCGGGGACTTTGGGCCAGAGCATTGGATCAACCTTGCGCTTCACTCGGCGGATATGAGTGATCCAGATGCCTTGTCCATCATAGGTGGCGACGCAGACAGCATCGTCTCTGCAACCAAGGATCTCTCCAGGTCCGCGCTTGCATTTCGCATCCCTCCCAGCCTCAATCGTACCTCCGTAAACGTAGAGGCCGACTCCTCCAAACAGCTTTGTGAGGCAGCCAGGCTGCGAATCAGCAGACCTAATCTTTCGCGATATCGTCCGAGCGGGTTCGTATTGGATATCAAAGTTGCGGTCCACTGCCTTGAGAAGGGGTCGGCGATGTGTTGGTCCGCCGAGGAAAGGCTTCCGCAGTGTCACTGATAAGCTTTTGTAACTGCGATTGGGGACAAGATCAACTGAGATACCACGAATATCCTGCTTCTGCAAAAGGGACAGTTGCGATAGAGCGGCTGCGACGCCTGAATCGGAGAAGCCGTTAGCTGCCGAGACGATGCGGTGCAGAGCAGTGGCGGTAGCAGTAATCGCTGCTTGGGTGACCTCTTTGCGGTAAAGTGTTGACTTGGTGACTCCGGGCGCATCGATGGCGATCTTGAATTGCTCAAATGCCCAGACTGGACCTGCGTCCATCTCATCAACAGCTTGTAAGACTGTAACACCCCAATGCGACCGGCCGTTCTGGCTCCAGGACTGGGATTTGAGAAGTTGGTCGGAGTCTACGACGTTGCCATCGTCGCCCGTGAGCACCCAGTCGAGGGCACTGGGACCTGCGTCACCTGGCGGTCCGGGATGGATGATGAGAGTGAGGTACTTTGAGAAGATCTCGCTTGGGACTCGTGTGGTCATGAACGGGCAGATGATGACGCTTGGTTGAAACAGGGTCGCTGCCTCGATCATGGCTTTGTCAGATAGCGCATACTCAATCGTGACATCGTGCTTTTGACTGAGAATAAGATACAGCTGCTGAGAAAGCGAGTTATGCGCCGTGCAGAGAAAGAGGATCCTCATTGCCGGCGTAGTAGGCAGGCGACGCTCACCCGCATCGCTCGCGCGACTGGTCTCGCTAGTACCTCGTGATAGCTTCAGTGAACCCATTGTGAGATGTTACGACCGGTGACTTTGGTAGTATGCTCAGACAGCGCAGGCCCTGGGGATGTCAGCTGGCAGGTGTGAAGGGTTTAAGTAACAATCTCCACGGGTCAGTGAATAACTAAAGGTTGCGACATAATGACTGATAGTGTAACGGCATCATCACACTAGGCAGCTCAGCTATGAACAACCGCGCATGTGTCACTCAATCATACCATTAACAAGCAGTGATTCATTGGCTCACCGAGATATGGCTACGATTTCGGTGGCTGACAATCTATCGAAACTCTCGCGACTAAACCAGGATCGGCAAACAACTTCCAGCACGGACGCAGCCATCACAATCGAATATCAAACATTCGCGATAGGACTTGTGTTTCATTGGATCGTAATCTCACTTTTGGCTTCATTATTTCGGGTGATGGGTGCCCCCTTGCAGTTGCTTTGGCTTTCCAAGGGAGATTACCTGGCGCTTGGCTTTTGGGGCCTTACCGGTAGTGTGAATGATCGACATGGCTGAGTGATTAGCGGAGCTGAGCTTTGCTTCTTGTTAATCACAGGTACCCGGTTTCTGGGTCGAGATGTATCGCAACAAATCACTGAATGAGGGCTTAAATCACTCATGCTGATCAGAGGTATGCTAATCTTGAAGGGAGCATCATCAAATGCATGCCCTGTAGTGAATGGAGAGGCCCAAGATTGAGGGACTGAGCGCGCCTTATCTTATCAGGCTTTCGCTCAGACGCGCCAAACACGAAATTATGATGTCAGAAAGACTCCATATCACAAAGCCTTACACCCTGTTTTAAGTGCCACAAGAAGCCATGCGACCCAAGCACAGCAATATGACTCAAGTCAGAGCTCAAGGGGTAAATTAGTCCAGCCGTCGGGTTCTGAGGCCTTCGTGCTGCAAGCAGCGATACGCGTCGCCAAAAGGATACGGAAATTGGTAATTCCGGCTATTTGTTGGTGGGGAGAGCGGAGCGGGGCGGAGCGAGCGCACCAAATTCAAAACAGCCCTTCGCGATGCAGGGTAAGTTGATCGACATTCTCGACTTTTGAAGTGCAGGCAGAGCTAAGTGTTCTCACGGCATGATAAGTGTTGATCTCATGACTGTTGTCACAAAAAGGGAGAATTGGGAGAAATGGCTTTGCTAGATTTGGACTTCGTTTACAAGTTTAGAATGGTTTTTCTGCAACGAATATTTGCCGACCCAAGGGATAATGCGTAAATTACAATGGCCGGGGCAAGTAATGTCAACGTAGGGAAAGTGAGCATTCGCCCTGAAGTGATAGAATCATAAGAGCAATATGACAGGCATATTGTAGCTCAAGTCAATTATCATACCATTGCTTCCACATTTCTTCAGCTCTTGCTGGTGTTTCTTAAATCGTATCTTCATTACTGCGCAGGATTGTGATTTGTTATCGATAACGACCATAATGATTTGTGGGGTCAGTTGTGGAGACCGAACCAGAGAGCGGAGGGTTTCCGCTTCTATTCCGTGGCCATGAGATTGGTCGAGACTACGGTCATCCCTCAAAATAGCGGCGTGAACACTGATGGCATTCATCACTTGGGCCTCGGCCTCTAAACAAATGGTACAAGTTGGCTTGCATTCGGCATGGAAACTGTAGCCATATTCTGAGGACATAATTGCAGATGATTCCGATTTCTCTGATGTGCTAGCTTGGCGTACCTGTCATCGTGTCTGCGCGCTGCTCAAAACACATAAATATTCACTGGATGAGAGCTCTAATGGCATGAAACATGATACCTCTTACTCAGTCGTGGCTAATTGGGCTCAGATTGAGCATTCGGAAGTGTTACAGCGCAGTTTATGTGATCTAAAATATCCTTGTACAAACTTCATATCCTGATGATCTTACGATCCCAGTTGAGACTCAAGAATAACTCAGTATCTTCTATGCACATAAAGAGCCGATCATAGTGTCACATCGTAGAGTCACAGTCTAAAGGCCCAGGGTGAGGCTATGAGATCGAAGCAGAAGTGATATCACAAGGTCTGAGCATGGAGTTGTACCTTTCCTTGTCTACGTACATAATAGATCCGCTATTACCGTCAGTGCGTAGTCTAGTAAGAACAAAAAACAGTCTAGAAGGATGATTAGAACATTAAGCTATGTTGGACAAGTTCCCATACCTACTGTGTCTAATCTTCACTTCCATGTGGTGATTAAAAGCTCCTAGCCATGGGACTCAACCACAAATACTACATCTAGCTCACAAATTAGACATTATACCACAGTGCCTGACCAATTGCTATAGAATGAATGCTCTCCTGACCATTCTATCTCATCATTACTTGCGGTTGTTGGTAGGATTTTCGGAGAAAAGGGGAGGATCACCTCTCTCGTCATCGTGTTGCATTGGCAATAGCGGCACAGATATTTGATAACCGCCATTGTAACAGTAAGATCCTCCATTACAGGATCTTCCACCAACGAGATATAGGGCATGCTTGTTGCAACTTCATGACAGACCTTGAGACAGCATCAATTTGCCCCCCCTTGGTTTACCTCCTTCCTAAGTTCTCAATTCACCGGTAAACGTTGAATGTCCGTCGGACTTGCTGACGGCATTTGCGACTCAACATAGCTAATAGCAGAAGTTCATCGCTCAGCTCAACAAGTCATGGATACAGCATGAGCCCCACGAAACGAAGCTGAGACCATCATGGAATCTTTCTACAGCGCGGAAAGGGCGTCAGGTAATAATAGAGCACATATAAAAGGGCGGGGATCTAGAGATTGTTCTGGCCTAGCGACTGGCGGAAAGTTTCTATGGATTCCCGAAGTGTTGGAATCCCTAGATCCTCCAGACCCTGGGACCCATAACGGGACGGCTTCCCCTGGCAAGCCTACCCTGACCACTCTTCACCGTCAATCGTGAACTTCAGGGAGCAAGATCATCGGTTTTCATGGGCATCGGTCGTCGGGGAT